CCTCTGCCCACAGTTTCTCTTTCTTCTTCTTCATCTCCTCTTAGCACCCAGCACCTCTCCCCTGCCAGGCATTCAAAATCCCCTGCCAAACAGCCAGCTGTACCACCACCGGCCACAGTGCCAGAGCCTCCTCCCCGCAGGGAGCTGAAAGGGATTCTTAAAAACATTCAGAATTTAGCGGCGATCGAGAAGTCTGTGGCCAACATGTACAGCCAAATAGACAAAAACCACGTTCTGCCCAAGCACGTTTCTAAGCTCAAACCGGTTGCGACACCAGAGCTGCCAACTCCAGAAGCTGCGGCTGAGCACAACCAGCAGAATGGCAGCTTGAGCTGTGTTGTGGAGGAGCTTGAGAAACGCTTTCCCTCTCAGTCGACAGCACTGTAATATTTACGGTTGGATGTTTTCTGCATGTAACATTTTGAGTGAGATGACTCTAATGCAGCACATGGTATCTGCCTCAGACTCTTTAGAAATTCAGACTTTTTCCCCTTTCTCTGCTTATTCAGTCCTAATCTCAAAATTGAGAGACATTGTCTTTCCTGTTCACTCAGAAATTTGTAATGTATAATAATTCTACAAGTTGTTTTCTCAGAGCTACATCTTACTGCTCTATGATGCTGGTTCTTAGTCTGTTTACCAAAAAGTCTTGGGGAAAACTGTCCATTTTTACCCAAGGATCCGTCATAGACGGCAGAGGGCTTGATCCTGCTTTATGTTAAGCAGCCTTCACTGTAGGTAATATCAGTAAGCGGAGTGATTTTTCTGCAGCTGTAATTGGAATCTCTTGCTTTGCCCATAAAACGTACCACCTGGGAGGAATCTTACTGTCAAATATTGGATGTCAAAGCAAGCAAGTACCGGTAGTAAGCAGGCTCAGCAACAGTGAGCCGGCGTTATTGCAGCAATGCATCATCTTATTCCATGGGAGATGACGCAGCGCTCTGCTACGCTGGCATGCTTTCCTTCAGCTCGCGTTTACATCTCAAGTCAGAAGAAGGGTTTTGTCTTGATTTGTCAGTAAACCTGGCTGTCTTCCCTCCCGTTACCTATGTTCTGCCTTCCGTTGCATTTTTTATATTGTAACTGCATGTTAAAAGTTTTTATTTTGTAAATTTCTTTAATGTACAAAGCATTTGTTTGGTTTTTATTTTGCATGTGCATGTTGTTGGCGTCTCTCTTCAACTTTTATGCTAGTTTGTCATGAGCTTTACAGCTGAAATATCTCGCTTATCTTAAATTATAATAAAGTCACTCTGGTTAGTGTCACGAAGTGAAGATTTTTCAAGTACTTGTAAAAAATCCATGTAATATGGATTTATTTACTAGCTTTTTTGCTCACGGTCATCTAAATCAGACCTTTACATTAAGTATGTCAATTATAGTAAATTAGCTTGTCCTTTGAAAAAATATGGTAAGTAAAAGCAGTTTTGGCATTTAAATGAGTGTTAGTTTGGTTCAAGTTGTAAGTTGCCTTTTAGTCTTTTGCCAAAATTCAAAATATTTGTGTTTAAAATTACTTTTAAAAACATACTGGGAAAGGCAAATATTACATAATGAAGAAAAACTAAAAACCCAGTTCAGTATCAAATGTTGTCGTTCTGAGCAAAAAGGTAATTAATTATTTATCAGACTATCTGGAGATACTCAGCATTTCCATGGTGCTTGGCTTTTTCTCTTTTCTCTTTTTTTTTTAAATCTGCAGTTAGGACATATATGGATGCTTCAGTCGGAAACTGCTGAAGGTAGTTTCTCTTTCTTTGTCCCAGAGCCAAACTCCGTGGACTCCATCACACAAGTTTCGCTGACACATTAGAATTTTTCTTTGCTTAAAACTCTTGCTGGGCTAGACTGTAGTTCAAGACACGTATAGTAGCTAAATGTGTGAGGGGAATGATTATCGATCATAGCATTTTTGCTGTAACACAATCTGTATAATTTACGAGCTGCACGCATGTAGAATACCTGCTGATGATGCTAAATTCTCCAAGAGTGGCACTGCTGCAGCACCAGCAGCAAATTGTCAAAGTTCAGCAGCTATTAAGTGGAAAAACTTTTAGGAGCCAGAATTGGAAGATGACTTACACGTGTACTTGCTTCTGTGTGTCTGCCACAGTCCAGGCGTGGAGACAGTGGGACAGTGGAAAGTGTGCAGAGATGAGCATGAGAAATGAGTGTGTTAAGCGTGTTCAGAGTGGGTCAACCCTTAAGACCAAGATTTGAATTCAAGTACCCAAATCCCGCTGTAGAGCTCGTAGACCCATAACAGATGCTTTTGTGAAGTTCATTACATCACTAGTGAAATATTAGACAAATATAACCTAATTTTGCAGTATGTAGTGGCACGCAGCAGAGCTGCAGGTGTTTAGTAATTCACAGCATAGGCTCCGAAGGTTTTATTCGGCGCATTCCTGAAGCAGAAAGAATGGACATCACACCAGAGCTCCTTTTTAAATACTTAGTTTCATCAGTCTCAGAAGAGTCTGTGGGGGTCATGGTAATCAGCTCTTCGCTAATGAGGGACACCTACTTTCTCATTCTGGAAACCTTTATTAAGCTGTAAAGTTTACAAAACCTAGCTTCATTTTGTCTGGAATTAATGCAACCTTTGTTCTCCTGCTGGTTTTTTGAATAGCCTTTGTTAAAAAAATCATTCTATTAGACCGGGAAAGAAACTGTACCAGTAGCGTGTATTTTTAACCTGACCCAGGGAAGCTCTGTCCCACTGAGATCTCTGGATGCTACTGCAGTTCTGGAGCACTACACCGTATTACAACCAATATATTAGCTGGTAAGAAGTTGAGCATATATAAGCTTATTGACCCCTCTTCAGGTTGTCTGATTTGGTTAGTTAGGGTCAGATGTGACCCTGGATATATCTCTCATCCTTTCGTCATCAGCTTGATTGGGTTGAGTTCTGAGCAGGAGCAGAGATGGCATCAGTGGAGAGCGCTGCTTTGTGAACCCGTTTGCAAAGCTGAAATTGAGCAGTAGCGTATCATTAGTCATCTCCCTTCCAGATTCTATCTCCTCAGTTCCAGCTACGAACTGCGGGAAACCTCCATTTTAAGAGTCAGGGCAAACTGATAAGCAGTTGCCTCCGCTGAGTAGTATCTGTAGTATTTGAGGTTGGTGATGCTTGTGTATTTAATATGAAAACAGATACAAAGTATGAAATAGCAAATGCCTGCTGGGATGCCAATAATTGGGAAAATGGTTGCTTTAGGCAAATCACAGTTCCTTTAACATATGTTAGCAATACAGACCTGTGAAAGGACGGCACATTTTGTACATGTAAATTCATTCTTGTTTCATCTTTCATGTTATATACCAGCAGTGTATACTAGCTGTCATATTATCCTACATCCTCATAGGCACTATGGCCTTGCTTCCCATTTTGCATTGAAGATTTCTCTCCAACTGACTGCAGTGAAGTCTGGCTGATAATGTTTATCCAGAAGCAATTCCTCCCTCGGTGGAGAGCTTTAATTCCTTCCTGGAAACAAATGATGTTGTTTTGCCCTTTGCCTTTTTGTTCAGAATAGATCCTTGTGCTGTATTGAGTGAATCGGTATTTTTTTGTCGTTTGGGGGCTTTTTTTCCTTCTAATCGTGGCCACACAAAACTATCAGAGAAGTGTAAGCATCTCTCAAAACACAGCGTGGTGCTATTTTTAAGAAAGTTGAATTCCAAATTGAATGGGAATTACTTATATTACGCTTTTAATCTGCAATGTAGTGACTACTCGAGAGCAACTAAGAGTAATAAGCTTACTTACTCTCAGCGCAACACAAGATCTTCTTTATCTGAAGATTGTTGTAGGCGATATGGAAACAGTGTTCTTCAAGTGGGCTTTGAAAAGTCACAGATCGTCTTTTGATGATAAATCTTCATTTCAGTTGTTCATTAGTTTTATATTATATGGGCAACAGCATTAATTTAATGCTGAAAATCAACTCCATGTGCTGAATATTAATAGAAAACTTTATAGATGGTGATATTAAAGAATTAAAAGGACTTCTACTCTGTTCTTTATTATTTACTCAAGCATAATTAAAGAATTTCCGTAGACTGCTGTCTGTGTATTAGGTTAAGCACTGCTGTCTGTGTACTAGGTTAAGCTCAACATAATTTTGAGCACTTACCCTTTCCTTCTTAAAAAAAAAAGAAATAAAAATCCAGGCTTATCCTTAATAATAATGCTAAGACCTCAATTGCTGTTCCCTAGTTTTGTCTAAACCATTTTAATTTTCTGGCACAAAATGTGAAAATAGAGAACTTGATAGACATAAGTGCATTTGTCATGCATATGAATGGCTCCAAGAAAATGAATTAAAAGAACAACAAAAGATTTCCAGTAAGATCAAAAGCACAAAGCCTGTGGCAAAATAATCAAAGATAGCAAAAATAATTTAACTCCCCTATGCAGAGGAAATGTTAGGAAATGTGTAATTTTAATAATAATGTTGTTACAAGAAATTAGTAATAGAAGCTCCAGGCCAATTTCTAGCAAGTCCCGAGTGGATACAGAAAGTCCAGAAGTAGAAGAGAAACTGTTTCACTGCTTAAGCAGATGTGTGAAATAAGAGTCTCTTTGTACAAGGTCTCTGAGACAACAGAGAAGGTGACTGGGCCGGACCTCTCTTACAGGAACACAAGGAAAACCAAACACAGCATTCATCCCCTTCCCCTCTGCTGTATTCCACTGGGTGCACTGGCTCGCTGGCTTTTGGGGATTGGGGATTTCTTCTCATTCATTTGCAATCTAAAGCAAGAAAAGATCCCAAAGATTCACTAGCCTTTCTCATGCAATAATTCGTATGTCCAGAGCAAATCTAAAGAAAAACATATTTTGTATTGTAGATATGTATTTCTTTTCTTGCTAGTAATAATTCTAATTACATTATCTTTTCACCTCTCTCCAGAAAGAATGGCTATATGCATCTTTATATAGTCTCACAGAAGTATACTAATGTTTGTTTTTTTTTCCTGACTTCTAGGCGAGGATATGCACAGCAAGAGGTAAGGCTGTTCCCCAATTACATTTAAAATATTAGTCGCATTTACATACTTTCCCATACAGCCTATGTTGTGAAACTCATTGCTACTGGGTGTTTTAGACGCCAGAAGTAGAAGTGGTTCAGAAAGTTCACGAGACATAGATTCACTGGGGTGGCACAAAGGTAACCTCCACGCTAGGAGGTTGCCGCTCGACAAACTGCCAAAAACATTTTCTCAGGGAATTCCCTCCAGGCTTGCAGTGTTTTCTTACGGCACGTCTAATCATCTGCCACTGCCCACTGTCTTGGGCCTGTTACCGGACCACACAGACCTTCTCTGCAACTCAGTGTAGTCTGTCGTTCTTGCAGCATCTTTTTGTCCAGCAATGAGTAACATGGAGAGTTGAACTCATTTGATAATTGGAAAGGTCTCTAAAATACATTTCTATCGTAAAGGCTGATATTTACTGCTGAGAGCTGGCTCACTTTTACTAATCCTTAGGTGTGCATCTGGAGCTTACTGCTCCTTATTCAGTAGTGTTTTACAAATTGCAAGCTTTCTGTTGTTCTGCTGTGATTTTTCCTCCCTTTGCAGAGCTGATTTGTGTCTCTCAATTCAGATACAGAACTTCTCCATCTCTCAGGGTTTGGTTTTGGCCAAGAAACTTGGCTGAAATAGTGCCACCAACTTTTGGGAGGAGTGTGGGGACAATGGTACTGATTTTCCTGAGTAAACCTGATCCTAATCTACAAAACAGCAAGTGATGTGCATCAGTCTGTCATTTGCAGAAAACTGGAGCTGCAGAGTAATTAACAACATGACTACCAAACATGACCCATGTTTAGCTGCAACACACCTGAGAGGAGCCATATTGTCCTGCTGGTCCTCTCCGTGCAGTCTCCCAGGGTCTCTTCCCTCACGTCAGCATGCTTTTCTCACTGCGTGCCGCATACAGAAAGAAATCACACATAAGCTGTAGAGAAAACAAGTGAGAGAATCCTTCACTGTCTTATTGGTATTGTGAATTAAAGTATACTTGTGGTTGCGAGGTACTCAGTTAAAAGCCAGAGAAGTATATAAATATAGATAGAGAATTAAAGCAATGGTATTGCAGTAGAAGCTGGGGTAAGAAATCAGATCACCTCAGGTTTTTAATAGCTGAATCACAGACTTTACTGCAGATCCCCATAGGTTTGCTTTCTACCTGTTCTGGATAATTTTTTTGTCTGCCATTGTCTCCCTGCTGTCTCCAACATACACGACACAACAGTTCTCTGGGCTCTGATAAAAGTTCTTGAGTTAAATAATTTCCAGAATCACCACGTAAACTGGGAATTTGATTTTATATTAGGCAAAAGAAATACTGGACTGTAGAGAGATTTTACTACATTAGGTGCTTAGCGGTGTTATACTTCTCACCGAGTATGGAAGTATCCAGGTGACTGCCGTACAAAAGGCTCTGAAGGACCTGTGTTTTTAGGATTTCTTTCCTATCTTAACTCAAACACAAATGACCTGCACTTCAATTGTTGCTGCCTAATTAACCCCTTTCTAATTTTCTTTTGTAGCAACAGCAGTTGCTGAGACCTTCTCTTCTCAGACCAGAGGTACCACTATTTTTCATTTCTTAATTATTCTATAACTTTTTTAATGGCTTTTACATAATTTCCTTACAAAAAATTGTCTGTCTTAGGTAATATTTTTTCCCCTGACTCTTTTAGATGAAAGGGAAAGTCCTGACATTGTTACCCCATTTATGTTGTTTTAATTAAATACCTTAAATTTACTGCATCTTGGTGTTTTCCCCTTGAGCATCTTTTAGTTGCTCCCATGGACTTCATCACACAGACTGAAAGCTTTCCTATCTTCGCGTCCAGATTCACAGACGGAATAATTTCCTCTCTGTCCAACCACAATCTATTTTTTCAGATGTCAGTCAACTGATCATTGATTATTGTACCTAGAGGTGAACTAAGCAGTTGGCCTGCCAAGGTAACGAAAGCATCAGCACACTGCTGTGAAGTGCAAAGGCCTGGATTATAAACCCAATACTTCCTATTTCAAATCTTTTAGACCCAGTATTGTTTCCAGAATAAGCAATAGAGCAAATGTAGCTTTTGTGAGACGTTGCTGTCAATGGTATTTTTGTGGTACAGAATGGTGACCGTTTCTGCAGTCATCGTAAGTAATTACGAGATGCTCTGACATGACTTTACATTCATTGGACCTCTAGGAAGCCGTGAGATGGCGACGACATGCAGTCCCTTGCCAAAACCCAAGCCCTGGGGCTCTGTGTCGATACTGCGGCTCAGAGGTATTCCACAGAGCAGCCTAATACCAAACAGTGTGTGAAAGGAGCTTAAGGACACACTGGCGCTTTTGTAGGATACAGACAAGTACTTAGCTTAGTCCAATGCTGCTCCTGATTGTTGATGGTTGAGAAAACATTAAAAAAAGAGACCTGACAAACACTGTAAGTAAAATAGCCCTAATCTTTCAATGCAGCTTTTTCCTTTGAGAGAGGCGCAAGAAGCGACAGCATATTTGCAGTGAGTCCAGTTTATGGAATGAGATTTTTGTACAGGGTAAGTGAGACAGGGTCCCACACTAGAACAGCATCTGCGTTTAGCTGACTTAGAACAGTCACTCCCAAGGAATACACCAGGGAAGGGGTCATTTAAAGCTGCCGTTGGCATCTCTTTATGGCTCTTGACAGTTGTCAATGTTCCTCAGATTACTATCATTTTTAATTTTGCTTGTTTGCACTTTAAGCTGCTTCTCTTTGCGCCTTTTTCATCTTTTCATCAGTCATTACTGTGTATAACTGTTTGCATTCAATCAGTGTTTCTCTTTTGACAGGAGTTAAGTATGGAGTCTGGAATTGATCCAGGGCAGGAATACTATGGGCAAGATTACTACAGTTATGAGCATGGGTATATTTTCATTTTTCATATATATTTCTGAAAACACTGCTTTTCCAGGTTGATGATGTTTATTATTACAGCACCTAATCTGGAGACTTCCCTTCACCTCAGGATTACTTTAATCTTTGTGTCTGCGAAGGTGCGCGCTGACAACAAAACTCTTTTTGAAAGTTAAGGGGGTGTTGTATAACTCCCTGCTTCATAAGGAATCTAATTATTATGCTTGCAGAGTGTATATCCCATCATGCCATTTTTATATTTACTTTTTTATTTGCATATTTCTCCTGTCTTGGAAATTAATTTCCATCATCTCCTCTCCTTTTGTGGCTCACCAGCCTGAGTTCAGTGACCGATACTTTCTGCTCATGGTTCCCAGCCAGCGTCTGGCCTTTTACACTTACCCAGAAAACATCATCCTGCCTTGTTCTGATAATGCCTATCTGACTGCAAGCACTTCAGGGATTATTGCTGTTCTTACAAGCTTGCAGGGATTTCCAGAACTGATCCCAGGGAACTTGCTCTTTCATCCCCCAATTTAAAAAAAGATCCCCCAAAAAATCAGATACCTGGAAAGAAGGTCATTGCACCTGGGGGATTCTTGACTGATCCCCGAGACCTGGCAATGCGGGTCGCCCTCCAGTTGTAACAGGCTTGTGGCCAATTGCAATAGGAAGAGGTTTTGGATTGTGTTACCGCTAAGGAGAAAAAAAAAAAATCTTCTCAAAGGTAGAGAGAAAAGAGAGCGAAGAAATTCTTGTCCTTTCAGGATGTGTGTGCATTTGTTGCTGTGTGTGCAGACACAACGTGCACACATCGGTGCACGTTGTGAAGAGACGACGGTGTTTTTGCCAGGTATGAACTGCCTCAGTATGGGAGCCGCCGCCGATTGCTGTCTCCTTCGGGGATGTACGATGAGTACGGGGAAGTCGTGGTGGAGAATGACAGTGGCTACTACTATAGCCCGCATGGATCGACAGCAGAAGAGGTAAGCGTCTCTGGTGTGTTGATTCCGTCTCTGCAACAAGGTGAAGGACCATTAAACATTGTCAAATGTATTTTGTAATTGATTAGAATACTGTGTCCTGTATAGACCACATAAGCAGCTCTTCCAACGCTAATCATTGTTTGCCCTTCTGATGACCAGTAAAGTTTTGTGTCAGCACCTCTCTCCTTCTTCTAGAAATAAAAAGGAATTGCAGAGTTTCTTTTAATATCCACATCTATTTTTCCCTCAACGTAGATTTCTTGTTCAATGAAAAATCCACATAGCCTTAGGTAATTCCATTTTATATTGTTAACCAAATGGGGTATTACTAATATTCAGCCTATAACTGGTGATTTTCCACTGAGAAAAGCAGTCACCTAAACTAATTTGTCATAAAGTTCACAAGTGAATGTAAAGAAATTTTTAAATGTCAGCGGCAGCCAGAAAGAAAGTTGATGTAAATGTTCCTTTTTTTTTTTAATTTAATTTTCAGAAATACTAGACTCTTAATCCATCACATGGGTTTCAGTTAAATGAGAAGAGAACATTTCTGAGCCAGTATTTTTCCCTGTTGCAGAGTAAGGTAGTTGTGCACTTGCAGCCTATTTTAGAAGTAAAACTTTCCCCATAACTTTGGTAAAAAGCTATTCTAAAACAGGTAAGTTAGTTTTGATGCTGGGGAAAAAATGTTGCATTTGTTCCTACTGTCTTGTTTTAGGGTACGAGTTTTCACAATAACTGTCTTTAAAGTTGTATAATCACGTTCCATTTTCATAATTTGCAGGGGATGAGTCAAGGCAGAGGTCCTTCAAGCAGAGGTATAAGCCAGAGAGCAGGGGCTCAAATAGAAGGTAGACCTTTAGGTGGTGGGATGGATCTAAGACATGGTTCTGGAAGAGCATATAGGACCAGCCAGGGAAAAAGGAAGCTAAAAGCCGTGATGCATTTAAGTCGCGTAGCAGTCAGTGCTCACAAACCAGTAGGAAGAACTGAGTCTGCTCGTTCTCCGTGGAAGAAAGCAAAGATATTCCCGATGATTCTGCAGAAAGTGAAAGGCGGCAGGAAGGATTCTAGTTATGCCAAGTTGATGTCAGCTCGCCAAGTGGACGGTGAGAAAAGCATGATTATCGGGGGAAGTTACTTCCAGAAATCGGCAGATGACAGACCTTCGATGAGAAAACTAAATCATGTGTTAAAACGCATTAGTGTCTCCAGAAAATTTCAAGAGCCTATTAGCAAAGATTCAGTGCATGCAAGAGGAAAAGGAGAGGAAGAATATGAAAGAGATGAAGCAAAATCAGGAGTTTCCATAAATATCACAGCAGAGAGTGAACACGAGGATAGTGATTATGAGAAGAAGAAAAAGAAGAGAAGAAAATACACTGCAGATGAGTCGTCTGTGAAGAGTAGTAGCTCTGGTTCAGAGTCAGAAGATAAAGACTACTTGAAAGTAACTCTGGACCAAGATGAAGCCACTGAAAGTACTGTGGACTCAGAAGAAGAAACCGGGCACGATTTTGGGGATTCTGATGACGACTCTGGATCTAGCTCTAGCAGTGAATCAGAAGAGGACTCATCTGAAGAGGACGATGATGAAGAAGACTCTGACAGCGATGAAGACGGTAGCCTGTCAAAGAGCTCATCTACGCGAAGTTCATACAGCAAATCAGGGACTAGTGAGTCCAGCAGTAGAAGAAGCACTGAAAGGTCCAGTATAAAAAGTAGGGGAGGTAGCTCTCGTGGCAGAGCAAGGCGATCCAGCCAGCAATCAAATATTAGCTCTAATGCATCAGGTAGTGACAGGGACACGAGCTGCAGGAAAACTTCAGGATCCAGCTATAAGAGCAAAACCTCCTCCGCCAGCCTTGAAATAGAAGACACGATAGAAGAAGTGTCAGAAGAAGATGAACAAGCGGATGTGGAGCAAGTCAGCGCAAGCCCCCGTGAGATGGCAGATAACACAAATAAGGCAGTTTCTGAAACATCTGCCAATGCAAAAACTGCTGCTACTGAAGAAGACAAAAGAGGAAAATCAGCTATTAATGGTGAGGATAGCGTGGATGAAAGCACAGAAGAGGTTGATACAGATGCTAGTGACAGGGAGGAAACTATCAGTAAGAATGAATCTTCTTGCTTAGGAAGTGAAATCAGTGTTACTTCCAAAGGTACTGAAGGGACAAAAAGCACAACTAGTGCCACTTCTGGTAAAACTGCTACTTCCCCTGATACTGAGAATCAAAGTTCAGACACCAACATGAAAAGAAAGAAAATAAGAAAAAAGATGTCCCAGGAAAACAGTCAGTCTCCATCAGATGAGACCCTGGATACTGCCGTTACGGAGTCAGAGACTACTGGTGATTCTACCTCCCTTTAAAAAGGAGCGACAGCAGGTGGACAGTAGGTTTTGCAGTAAAGAGTGATCTTGTTTGCTGTGCCTTCTGTGTGGTCTTTCCTGAGCAATACACACTTGACTAGAGACAGCCAAAAAGAAAACGTTAACGCTTCAGCGTTTGAACCCTGTATGCTGTCTTAAGGACAGAACTGTAGAAAACCAAACCAATATAATTCTTCTGAGAGACTACTCGGGTATATTTAGTAGCAGATATAGAAAGACTAATTTTCATCGAGCAATGGTAGGAAGGAATGCTTCTTTTTCTCTGCTAATTTCAATAATGTAGTTAAAGAGGCATTGTGTTGACTCTTAGATTTAATCCTTTTTGCATTGGGCACATTGTGAAGCAAAATAACATTGCATTTTGCATTAAGCTGTGACGGATAGCTTGACGAATCTGATGGCACAAACCTATTACAGGCCCTATGTTCATGCAGGTTATTCTGTCACAAAATAGAACACTGCGGGAAGGGGCAAAACGTGGAATTCAGTGAAGAACAGAAATTTGTTGATGAGGATGAAAAAACTTACAAGTCATACATGGTTTCACCTTATGTTCCCCTACCGTACAGCATTTGCTGGTTTTCAAATGAGTTCGCTGCTGTAAACATCAGCCCTATTTGCAGGGAGGACAACTGAAATTGCAGCAAAGCAACACTCCCAAAACTGCAGAGTATTACTAGCAGAGCTGGGATTAGACTGTTTCTGGATCATGGGATTCAGTTTTCAGGTACCAGTGATGTACAAGACAGGAATGCAGAGGTAGGTGTACAAAGTGAGCTTGGCCAGAAAAGGAAATCGATTACATTTTCCAGCTTCTGCCCTTCCCACCTAACAGTACAGTGAATTTTTTTTTTTTTTTTAAACATCTGTTTGAAAGTTGGAGATGTGTAACAGCAAAGTGTTGCTGAAGGTAACCATCACCTATGTTCTATATTTTGGTATCTGCCTTTTAAAACTCAATAACCTGGAATATCTGATGTCATTCAATAGAGAAATCTTGTAGCACTTTCATTAGCACAGTTCCACTCAGAATGAGCGTGATTACATAGGAAGAACTTCTGTTTTTGAGAGCAGAAGTCACCTTTGTGTTTTCATGTAAGAAGCAACCTCTGCATGATGTACCTCCTCATGGAGCTCTTACCCATGCTGTCAGCACATGAAGTATGCAAGCCTTGTATACACACAAGCTATCTGTGCTTTATTTACCTTGTATCAAAAGCCACAGAGTTGCTTCTCAACTACTAGATTTATCCAGATGAGCCATAAGAAGCGTAAATAAAATTAAAGCTTTGAGCCAGTATTGGATTAGTCTTGTGAGTGAGTACTTTAAAGCTAGTACAAATTCTGGCGTATGCACCAAAGCTCTGCCAGGAAGTCTCTGTTAGACGGGGAGAGAAAAATGTTTGAATTTTTAAGATACTTGAGCCTGCTGTGGAGTTACCCTGGCAGGACAATTAGTGTTGAGCTGCAGAGCGTGATACTAACTTTTCAAGTACTGTCCTTAACTCCCATTGAAATGTGAACTAGATGTATGATCACTTTACCTACATGTTTGTATTCCCGTATAGCACAAAGTTGTAGCTGCACACAGTGTTTTAATGTAAATCCCATTTAAACTAGTCAGTCTTTTCATCCACCTGAATATATCCGTGTGAAGAAAATTGTATGTCTTTATCAGGATCAAAAGAATAGGCCTCTAAGTAATTTGTACAAAGTGTAACTTCTCAAAAGCTTAAGAGTAATCATCACCCGTTCGTACCTTGCATGATTTTCTTCTTCTAAAAACTGGCTTTTCTTGTGTGCATGTGTATGTATTGCAGTGGGAGTTAACTGTGATGGTATCTGCTGCCTTAGTGAAATAACAGTGTCTGCATTATTAATTCAAGAATAATAGTAGCTTGTTTCAGTGTACTGCAAGGAGGCATTTATTTTAAAAAGATCAATTATAAATTAAAATAAGTAATGGGTTTTGTGTAATCGCTATTAGTACAAAGTCACAGCAACATGGAAATTGTTTGCATTAACTCTTTAAAAAAATATATAAATTATATAAAATCTAAAGTCTCATTTCTCCACCATCTTCCGCTTAATAGCAAACCATCTGCATTGATCCCACTAGATTGGAACTGGCACAAAGCCTTATATCAAGCTTTTCTTCTTTTAACCTGCCAATTTTGCCAACGTCGTGCTTGAGAATTTCCCTTGTGTAGGTCCTGAGATCTTTCTCTGCTTGATGTGCTGTGCATGTAAAACAGGCCTGCTCAGTGCCATTCCTGCACTGAATTTACAATGTAGTAATACTCTGAAGAAAACTTCTAAGGCCTTCCTAGCATTTACCCATTAGTACAGGAGTTTCTTAGAAGTATCACTTGCACAATGGCTTCATTATCAGTGCCTTCCAGTTTCTGTTAGAAGGGGTTATTAATCTAGTTGGTTTTCATCTCTCTTTGTAAGACGGACTGAGACATTGCTTTGTCAAAATATGACTGGCTTACCAATGTTGTGATTTACAGAAGTTTTCTTTCAGAAAGTAATGTCTCCATCCTCAGAATTCTCCAAAGAAGGTGCACTTTGACTTAATGGGAGCACAGCTGAATGCATCTTTAGCAAAAAAAAAAACAAAACCAAACACAAATTTGTCACTACTTTCCAAACCTGAAGAAAAACATCACAGTTTTTATACATTCTGTCTCACATTATGCAGCTCACAAACTAAAATGAGTTTCTTCCTTATAACTTTTTAGTACAAAGAATTGTTTGCGTGTTCACGCAAACTGGCACACAGTGGTAATCAAAACAATTAAGAATCATCTGTGTACAACCTAAAAGGAAGGGTACAAAAGACCAAGTTAATAAAAATTCATATGAGTGTCCAGGTAACAGATAGAAAAAGGGCAGGAAACTGTAAGAAATAGTGCTGAGATTTAACGACATTTCTATTTATTGTCAAACAGTGGGCCAGAAAGAAAAGGATCAAGTTGATAGTCGACCCAGAGTATGAGACCAGCTCCACCGGAGAAGACAGCGCTCCCGATTCCAGCCAGAGGAATCGTCTTAATAACCCGAATATTCACAACAACATCAACGGTAACATCTACATTGCACAGAACGGCTCTGTTGTCAGAACCCGTCGCGTTTGCCTTGGTAATAATTTAAAAGTCACATCTCCAGTGAGGCTGGGGAAACAATTCAAGAAACTGGACAAGCTTGCAGTGACACACGAAGAGAACGTCCCACTGAACACATTGTCAAAGGGACCATCTTCTAGTGATAAAATGAACACAAGACCTTGCAGCGTCTCATTTGCTTCCTCTACGATAGGGGCCGAAAATATAGTAACAAAGCCAGGGGGCTCCAAAATGAAAAGCACAGAAGAGCAAGAGTCAGTTGTTGATAATGAGGATGTCAAAGAGCCCTTGGAGTCGCACAGTGAACACACACAGTCAGATGAAGAGGAGCTCTGGATGGGCCCTTGGAACAACCTTCACATACCAATGACAAAACTGTGATTTTATTTTTTTTTTTATTTTAATTTTTACTTCAGTTTATAATAAACTGCGCTTTTTATTGTCACTGAGGAAAATGTATGAAATTTGTATTGTGCACATATGTTGTATACTACAAACGACACGCTTTAAAGTTTAAAAACAAAATTTGCACTCACATTTGTACCAATTAATTGTCCTCCCCAACAACTATTTTGACAGGCTCCCATTTCACTAAACAATACTTCATTTAAATTAATTAGGTTTTTTGGATCTTGATTTATTGTTTAATAAACAGTAAACTACTAATAAATGCACAGCAACACTTGGTTAACTTTCAAACAGTTCTATACATGCCTAGCTTGTTTTTCTGTATGGTACTTGTGGCTATACTGTTTAGATTTGGAAATTGTCTATTTATGTTCAAGATTTATATCCAGAGCTCTTGATTTTGAACTCAGAGTAATAAATTAAAAATAAATCCATGAAAGTCAATGGAGCAAATCCTCGGCTGGCTTAAATTTGAATAACGATACCAAAGTCAATAGTGATATACCAGTTTATGCAAACAGCTAGCAAACTTAACTAAGAGTGGAATCAGAGTTTATAAGAGTATAGCACCGTTACATAGAAAAGTGGAATAGAAGATTAAATAAGATACAAATTGCAAAGAGGAAGGAAATGTGTAGCAATTAATCTTATTCAGAGTTACCTGGCCGTGGTTTGTTCATTTTCTTTTGTAAATTAGCTCATTCCAATTTTCTTCTCTAGTCAATCTTTCATCTTTTCATCTCTTCCCACATGAGTTCCGTTTTCTTCTTTATACGGTCTTTAGCTCCAGTTTTTATGCTCCATCAATAATTGTCATCCTATGGCTATATTCCTCCGAAATAAACCAGGATGATACACGAGTCTGTGTGATAGAAATAGGCATTAAAGAGTAATTAATAGGAAGGGGATGGATACATTTTCAAGCCCAGCTAGCTGTTGGGTTAAATGGTACAATCATCATTCCACTCCAATAGTGTTGAACATAAACCTGCTGAGAAGACAAATGGATCATGGTGAGGAGGATAAAAAGTGAGTATTTTACGACACTAATATGCATGAACGGATCTGTGAAGGGCAAAGGGTGTCAGAACACACACAGAGAATTGTTTCAAAAACTTTAAGTAAACATTACTTGTAAAATACACTACATAAATATTGGCACCTGCTTATAATTTCTATTTGTACCTCAAAGTGGTGAGTGTGTTGTGTTACAACTTGAATAGGGAGCTGAGAAATGCCGCTGTTCGTAATCACCAATACCTAAAAGACACTAGCAATAGAGAGCAAAGTATTTTCTCCGATGTGATATAGGAAAGAAAAAAAGAAGATACATCTTCACATGAGAAAAGTGTCCTGTTCTATTATGCAAACTTTTTTTTCAGGGTAAGATCAAACTAGTTGTGAGAACAATATGGATACTGCTCGAAAGATAGGAGGAGTCAACAGATAAACGTGTGCAATTAGTAAGGAAATGGTTGGCATCATCATTCTTTCCCTGTTGCTGTAGTTGAAGTTTCACCACAAGATCTGGATGACGATGGCTGTTGGTTCTGCCCTGGCAGTAAATGGACTTCTGCTACTGTGATTGTGTTCATTTTCCCCTTGCGCAGGTTCTCCTCCACGAGAGTCCTCTTAATGTTTGTCTTTAGAAGCTGTCCCCGTGTTATGTCGACGCAAATGTGACATTTCTGTCAAATACCTCCTTTTCAAGCTGAGGTTTCCAACCAAGTATTTTGAGAGACGGTGCTTGTTTTTAGGCACGAGAAATGCAATGTAGCCTACCACAGAAGGAAGAAAAAAAAAAAAGACCAGGTATTTCTTTCTCCTAACTCTTTTATCTGGGCATATTAGCACTTGGTACCTAATAAAAAATAGCTGTTTGGAGTTTAGCTAGAGTCTGAACATATAGATAAGAATGATGGAAGAAAAGAAAAATCTATTATTTGAAATAACTAGTAAAATATTATATTCTAATCCTGTTTAAGATACTGTTATTATTTCACTACATCATTTTTATCGGAAGATCTGTCAGTTTGGTTCATACTGTATATGAACATATACTTCGATAAGGCCATATGCTTTTTAGAGAAACATTTTCTCCCAGCTAGTCGCAATTTTCCGAGGGGAAGAAAAATCGTTTCTTTTTCTAGAGACTCGCAGCTGTACCCGCTTTAGCTCTAGCTCTGTGAAGGATTGTCGGGCCTAACACCGGTGGTCAGCAGTGCTGTGCATGCTTACCGAAGGCAAAACCTGTCAATACCGTCTCCTTTGCGCTGTCCAAGCGCTCAGAACTTTTCCCACAAGCAATAAGCGTAAGAAATTCAGTAAGAAATTTCAGTAAGAAATTTAACTTTTTAAGCAATGGGTGGGGTTTATCTAAAATTAACTCCATTTTAGTTAAACTTGTAGTGGCTTTCAAAATCTTGAATACTGTTGGCATAGAAAGGGCTTCGTGAAATCTTTCACAGGTGCCAAAGATTTGGGGGGGGTATTTTTTCTTTTTTATTATCTGTGGATGTAATACTGTAAATCAATACAGAATTCAAATCTGTATTTTCTAGGGATGCCATACTGTAAATTAATACAGATTTTAGACTGTTAGCAGGCAGTGGATGCCAGAACCAACAGCAATAACAGTACAGACTGACACAGTAAAAAAAGCTCACTTCTACTTTTCCTTTGGAAAGTTAAGTATTAGCATGGCTTTGGTGGATACAGTAAGTAGAACAAAGTATCTGGGTCTTGGGATATAATTTACAGCTATTTAACCACTGAAATTTGTAAAGCTGATGCAAGGCATGAGCATTTTCCCCTGGGTGGCAGAACTACTCACTGGCGGACTGACCAAGGTGATAATCATTGCTCCTGACATTGATTTAATTTGTACACTCCTCCAGGCAGGCACTGATAGTTTTGTGGTTTAGTTCGGCATCTGCTACATTTTCAGTATAAGCAACGTTCAAATGACCGACGTTGTGGCTGTAGAAGGGCACTGTAATGCCCACTGTGAGGCAGAACAAGGAATGTCAGGAGAAAAATAGAAACTTTTTTTTCCCCTTCGTTTAAGCATATAGTACTATGAACAAGATTGCAAAGAAAGCCCCGCAGATCTATCGGGGACTGTTAGGAAGCTTAAAATATTTATGCATTAATGGTAGGTAGTCCTTGCACCCAGGATTTGCCTGAGCTGGTGTCAGGGAACGGACAGTGTGGTTGTGGGGGTGCTGTGTGTGTCCGTCTTGGTGCCTTCTGCCGGCAGAGTGATTTCACAGCGTGATCACTCGGCATCCCCCGGGCTGAATCCCTCCAGAACCTGGTTATGCAGCTGGAAAACTTGCACAGTCAGCAAAATGGAAAAGAGACTGAAAAGAAATCTGAATTTTTAGCAGTGGGAGAACAGTACCAATCTCTTACACAAATTTCAGCTTACATGGTAGAACAACGTATAGTGGGAACTGGATATTTTGGGCCAGTCACAACCATGAAAGTGCTTTCTGGACAGTGTCACACACTCCTAAGGGAATACAGCTTGGTATTTTAAAAAGTCTCTAATGGATCAAAGCCACGGTGGTTCTGGTTTCTCGTGGTGGTCGTCCCCAGGTTGCTTCTGTGTGATGATCTCGGTGGTTGGGAAGTGGCTGCTGCTTTTCACATCCGTTTGCCTCTAGCAAATGTCAGTTGTAACTCAAAGCTTCACAAGTAAGTATCTTTTAGAGCTGGTGGATGGTGATAAACGCTTCTTACCTTGTAATGTGTATAATTGTGCTGCAAGTGGGGGTATAAATTTGAATGCTTTCTCATCAAGCCCTAGTTTGTGGCTATGCCAAGACACACAGCTAGCCAGAAATAAAAAGGGCAGCAGCTTTCTCCTGCTCAGCACACGCTTGCTTGCCCACCCTTCAAATGCCACATGCAGAAATGGTAACTTTAAGTTACCATTGGATGTCTCGTCGTTTATAGTCTGAGAAAGACTTGCATTTATTACAAAGTATTGATAAACCACAAGGTTTGGTAAACCCAAAGAATGGTGCAGTTTGACAAATGAATTTTGAAGGCAGCTGGTTCTCAAAAGCCCATTAGATGAGTACTGAGGAAGATTACCGTTTTTATTACTGGAAGAAGAGAGTTTCAGTAATTTCACTGTTTGGACTAGGAGCACTAAGCCCAGCTGATCAAATGATAAAGCTGTAGCATAGGCCTGGATCAATAGTGTAGCAACAACTTGAGCAGAATAGGGTAATTCACTCGTAGCATAACAAAACCAAAGGTTTTTCCCGGACGGCTGGAACGCAGTTTATCTTTCTGGCACTGATTGTTGCTCTTACCAATACACGATAAAAATTATGTTGTTCCTTTTGCAAGCCACCCAACACGAGCAACACTAACCCTGCAAATTGTTTGCATGTAGTTAAGCAATGGCCGGCCGCGATGCTGCAGTGATACCCAGAACGAGTTGCAGCATTCCGAGGAGTGTTTGCCTGTCCCCATATGGTTGCCATAGAAACATACAGGTGGCTGTGGCATTCAGAAATTGCTGCCATTTGGCTCTGTCCAAGGAGCCAGCGTGGGGTAAGCAAGCATGGGGAGCCCGTGCTGGAGTTCAAAGGAAGGGGATGCAAGCTCCCGATCCCCGTTGTGTGGAGAAGCCTACTTGGAAATAGTAAGTGGTTCTAGCCCGAAGGACTTAATCTGAATGCTCTCAACCTGACAAGGAGCAGCTGTTTCCACAGAGCTGGGGGAACCTCACAGAGCTGCTCGGACACCAAATCCACCAGGGCGCTGTGGGCAGTAACATGGAGACCCTCCGAGTTACCATGCTTTGCATTGTCCTGTAGGTTTTCACCAGTATTTTCACCTTTCAGCGGACACCAAATCCACCAGGGCGCTGTGGGCAGTAACATGGAGACCCTCCGAGTTACCATGCTTTGCATTGTCCTGTAGGTTTTCACCAGTATTTGGCTTTCAGGAGGTCCCACTGACCCTCTAGCTCTGGACAGGCTGACCTTGCTTGGAGTGGATAATAGCTAGTACGTTGTGTGTGCTGTATTCCAGTGTGTTTGAGGAAGGGATGGCATCTGTACAGTGGCTCTTTTGCTGTTCTTCAAGAAGCAAGGACAAGCTCCTGTGTCAAACTACTAAAAAATCTTTCTCTTCTCCCTCAAAGCTCTGCTAAAATGCTTAAAGAGTAGAAAACATCATCACCTTTTTAAGGCAACAAAGGTAAAATTAGCCTTTTTTAGTGCGTACCACTCAAGACTGTTCTCTATTCCCGGAAGACTCTGCATATGGTACCTGGCAAAGTCAAATGCGAGGGCAGGTACTCATTGCAGCAGTTACCAGACGTTTTGCAAGTGCCTGTTCCTGGCAGCCCTGTGAGTGCTACAGAAGTACGATCAGAGGTTTTGGGGAGATTTTTGGGGAGTCGGGGACAGGATG